TGTTGGAGCATTTGCAACTTCTGGAGGTAAGCTGTTCCACTGATTAATTGTTCTAACTGTCAGGAAATTGCTCCTTAGTTCTAAGTTGCTTCTCTCCTTGATTAGTTTCCACCCATTGCTTCTTGTCCTATCCTCAGATGCTTTGGAGAATAGCTTGACTCCCCCTTTTTTGTGGCAACCCCTGAGATACCAGAACACTGCTATCTTGTCACCCCTAGTCCTTCTTTTCATTAAACTGGATATACCCAGTTCCTGCAACCGTTCTTCATATGTTTCAGCCCCCAGTCCCCTAATCATCTTTGTGGCTGTTCTCTGCACTCTTTCCAGAGTCTCAAGATCTTTTTGGTATCGTGGCAACCAAAACTGGATGCAGTATTCCAAGTGTGGCCTTACCAAGGCATTATAAAGTGGCATTAACACTTCATATGGTCTTGATTCTATCCCTCTGTTTATGCCAATTGTGTTGGCTTTTTTGGCAGCTGCTGCACACAGCTGGCTCATATTTAAATGGTTGTCCACTAGGACTCCAAGATCCCTCTCACAATTACTACTATTGAGTGAGGTACCACATATTATTTACAGGACTCCAGGCAATGAAAGTTTCATTCTTTTTCAAGGAGATTTGTATCTCAATAGCTATGTTAAGAAAGCACAGACACTTTTGCCTGATATATGTTTTACAATGATTCAGTTTACATAGCACAACATTGCATACTCCACAATACAGTTTTCATAACAGGTTAGCATTCTACTTTACCTGGCCATTCCCTAACAATGAAGTATCTTTTCCCATCAGAAGATAGGAGCCAAAGAAGAAAGCAAATGCATGAAAAAATCCCAAAAAGGTCCAGTAGAGGAAAGGCTTAAAGCCCAAGTGGGCATTTTTACTAATGTCTCTGTAGAAAGAGAAAAAAAAGGTATGATGCTCTGACAGCTATTTTCAAAGGAACAAAACTTACTTTAATACATGATGACATCAGTGTACACAAGATCATCTTTAATGTTTCAGGAACACTCCTAAAATTAATCTATACCTTTTTACCTATTCTGGGAAATTGATATAAATGCTCTTCAAAACCTTGAGATGTTTCATGGCCACTTGGTACTAAAGACTAATATGTTTTGGGAAAAAGGATGATGCTAACTCCCTATTTGCTTTCCCTATCCCACCCAATTACAATTTTTAGTCAATGAGCCAGCTTAAAAATGACCAAAGTATGGCCACATTTCTGAACAAATTTGTATAAACAGATATATTATTTTAATAATAAAAAATTGTGTAATTGAAATCAGAAATCTCTTTATCATTTAGACTCTTTCAGGAGGAATAGGAGGGAGACCTCAAATTAATCACATAGCGTTATTTACCAATGTTTATCAGTCACCTCTAAATGAGATGAGCAACACATAAATCTAATAAATAAGACTAAATAGAAATAAAACCTACAATTCAAGTGTAGGCACATAATGGCTGCATTTCGACACCACGATAAAGAGAAGAGGGTTTAGACTTCAGGGATCCTTCTGTACTCAAATCAATCAGAGGCGGCATGCTGTTTAGAGGCAGTGGGTGCAGCGCCACTCCTCACCCCCCCATCACAACTGATGAAGATTTTGCATGAGAAACGAAACATTTTCTTCTTCCTCAAGGAAAAAAAAAAGTCCAATTGCTTTTTGAAAAAGCACCTTTGAGACAACTATGACTTGGATGACTAAGAATCTCTACAGGGATCTTTCCTCAGAGGGTTAGGCTAACTGCTTGCAAAGGGCATACAAAATTATGCTAAGAGCCACATTTTGAACATCCCCTGCTTTCTATACTCTGATCCTTAGCATAGTGTCTTCTTCTCTGGCTTTGTTCTGACCTAGACTTCCCCAAAAGCATGAAGCCGAGTCTTCGTCCCAATAAACCCTTTTTATTTAATTTACGTAAATGCCTCTCCAGCAGTCTTTCAAGATAGTTCACAATTACCGATCTTTATCAGGCTTGGAGAGTGGCCATGCCGATATCTTTCAGACGCCGCAATACTTGTCAAGAATGCAGGAATGAACTAATGGTCTCCTGCAAACTCCACTCCCCTTTTGCTCCTCTTTTATTCCCTATGGGAGGGGCAAGTCACCATCCACCTGTGGTCTTACTCCCAAGTTGACCCTTGTTCCTTAATTGTTCCCTTTGTCTGGCAACTATGCACATGTGCACACTGGGAACAGGCTCCAACTGTTTGTCTGCCTCACTGATCTCTGACTCCGAAGGCAGCTGATAACTGTCAGACGGCCCTGGCCCCCTCTCTACCTCTGACGCAGAGCCCTCATCAGAGCCTTCCCCAGGCTCCAGGACTGGCCCATGTTCCTCCCCAACTTCCTCACTGTCCGAATCTGCCGCCAGCTCCGCTGACTGCTGGTGGGCCACAACAGGCTTGTCAGGGTTATTCATATCACAGCCAGAGCAATTTCTGGCTCTGCTTCCAGAAACTTTTTGGAACATCTTGCCTCCCGAGGTAAGACTGCCTCTTCTATGCTTCGGCAGCAGACTGAAGACCTGGCTCTACCAGATGGCTTGGAGTCCTAATGGGGGAGCATCACACTGGAGGTGATTGTTGAATTAAGGGGCAATCCCACCTCCACCCCCTCCCTTTGCATCCTCTTCCCTCCCTTCACTCTGTTTTATCTTGATTGGAATTTCTACTTTTATTCTTTTAAGACATGTTAGGATTACACTAACTAGAATGTTTATGGAGATTCTCAGTCCTCCAGGTCATGGATGTCGCAAAGGTGCTTTTTCAAGAGGCAACCTGGACTTTCTGGTTTTGCTTTGAAGATGTTTCGCTTCTCATCCAAGAAGCTTCTTCAGCTCTGACTGGATGGTGGGAAATGGAAGGATTTATATTCCTTGCAGGGAATAGATTTTACTGTTTTAATTCTGGAAACTACCCATAGTCGTTTTACTACGAGATGGGGAAGAAGGCAAATAAATTCAATAAACAGACAAGCAAACAAACTAACTCTTTAACTGAAGATGGCAGAACTGACTACATTAAATCTTAAGATGTAAAGAATATGTGCCTAACAGCATAGGGATTCCCCTAATATTTCAAATGAGGATTAGCTGTTTCTACAAACAACCTAACCTAGGACTTTAAAACCCAGCACCCTTTGGGTCTCTGACAAATGGTTTTTGAGTAGAAGGAGCCGTACAACTCATTTCTTAACCAAGCAAAATTCTCTCCTGAAAAGACCATGCTTACCGGTAGAGAGTTGGCTTGCTGTGCAATACATGAGGATGCACATGCTGTTCAAAAAGACTATACATGAGGACTGGCAGGGAAGTGAAACAAATGTTGTACAAAGTCAGGTACACGCTGTCATACAGAGTCTGAAAGGTGAGAAAGGTGGAGAATTGGTGATTGTTTTAAAACCCATATACAGAAAAGTCAACAACAACAACACAATCACCTCAACCTAAATGTCTGTTGTATTATATTAACATTAACAAAGAAGGAATGCAATAAAGCAAGCTTCTATGACCTGAAGCTGTACAACTGTAAAGAATTATTACAAACCCCTTCCATACCGTACTTCTTCCTCTCAACACAAATGGTTTTAACACTCTTTCTAAATATGTATGTATGTATGTATGTATGTATGTATGTATGTATGTATGTATATGTATGTATCATTGTAGAGAAGTCTTGCAAGAACAGAAAATGTTGCATTTACTTCTAGTTAAGTATGGGTTAACAGAAGTTCTTTGGTGCAGCATCCAAAGAAAGGTATATAAAAAAGAACATCTGGAAAATGCTGTGTGTGTCCGTATCGAGGAGGAGAAAAGGCTTTAACATTGGACAAAGCTAATAGTCACTTTATGTCAGGGTTTCTCAACCTGGGCAACTTTTAAGGTGTGGGGACTTCAACTCCCAGCATTGCTAGCTGAAGAATACTGGGAAATGAAGTCTCCACCTCTTAAAGCTGCCCAGTTGAGATATGTTGATTTTAGACGATAGATGCTGTGTGGTCAAGAAAAGGCCTATGGGTTTGTTTGTTTTTTTCCTTATTGAAACAGAAAGCGGTTTGTCACCAAATTCAATGCAGACCATCCCACGATCCATGTAAAAGAAAAGTTAAGAACTGGAGCAGCTTAGAAGGAAAGGCAGGAGGGGTGGGGTGGGCGTTTGCTATCATCTTATTCTTCACTTTAGACAGAAACTCTTTCTGTTTAAGTGGCACCCAGCTTCTTTTCAGTCAACCCACTTTTTAATTTCATATTATTGCCTGTTTAGAATAATACTTAAAATACTGAATTTGGAGGTAGGAAAATCAGCTTGTGATAAGACTCTGTTACTAATCATTCTTAAATGGGGCCAATCAGGATTACCCATAGTCTTTACTAGGTTATTTATAGATACATGTATTAAGATAAATTAGAATTTGCTGGAACTCATAGAGTAAGAGCAATTAATTTCAGAAATGCAAGAAAGGACAAACATTACTGGCTACGGATAATCTGAGTTACAATACAGCACATCTTAAATTTAAATCTTAAATTTAAACCAGTATACATTTAAATGAGCTAAATCTGATTAATAAGAAAATCCCTTCTTGATCTGGCTATAACTGTCGCTTGTCTCCCAGATATAAAATAAAATCCATTTTTTAAAAGTGCTTTTCGCTTTCTAGCATAGAAAAAGAATTAGCAGAACTAATCAGCACTATCCAAAGATAAATATTACTTTGACTAAACTCTCATTCCGCATGGAACTCTTTAACACAACTTTCAATTTTTATTTTGCCTAACAATAAAATGGTTCCCTCACAAGAAATGGGATTGCTCTTGGATACATTTTTACAGACAGAAAATTTAAAGGAAATATATAGGGATGGAGAAACAGATGCTAATGAAACATCATCTAGCTGTTGTAAAAGGTATTCGATTTTAGCTCTAATATAGTGCTTGCTTCTTGGTGGCTGCCTACAAATCAGAATGTGAAGGCAGAAAAGAGGAGAAGAATAAAAAAAATTGACTACTCACTTGTTGTGAAAATAAGCAGAAGAATTGATATAAAAACTGTGGCGTAATAAAACACACATTCTGGAAAACAAGATGCAATGCAACCAGTGAGAGACATAAACACCAAATTCTATCACACCCCTCCAAACCTATCTTGAATATCAAAAGAAGTTAAAAAAAAATCTTGTCTACTGAGATTCATCATCCAGATGGATAATGATATCACTGGCTGGAATTAAAGTACTCATTGAAGGAAATGGTGCGGTGGCCTAGAGGTGGAGCTCTCGCCTCACAATAAGGAGGCTGTGAGTTTGATCCTAGATAGAGGCAGATATTTCTTTCTCTGGACGCACTGAGAATATATCTGCTGAACAAAACTCCGCATTGGCGACAGGGAAGGCCATCCGGCCATTAACACACTCTGCTAAGTCCATTCAGTTGTCCAGACTCCACCCCACAAGGGATTATGGGATCACTGAACGACAATGATGATTGAAGGAAGTGGTGGAGAGGAAATACTCCCACAAGGCATTTGGGTCCCATCAATATCACAATGAAGCAGTCTTCCCTAATGCCATCACTCTAATCCACTTGAGACTTAGAAACTCCATAACGCCTTGTTTGAAACAGGAAGCACGAACTCTTTCCTGATACGTAATCGGAATGCTCTCATCCCACTTTGCCTTTTAACTGTGATCTGCATGATGTGCACATCAAAAGAGATCACAACCTGTTTATAATCTAGACACTGCAACCATGATTAAAAGCTTAACAAGAAATAGTTTTACTACAGGTATGTTTTGGCTTGGAAGTGAAGAAATTAGCAGCAAGTTAGCAGATGGTGATGGAAGCTCCTACTGAATATCATCAGGGAAAAAAACCTTACAGGCAGTCCTTGACTTATAGCCATTCATTTAGCAACCGTTCAAAGTTCCATTGGCATTAAAAAGTGACATGACTGGACCTCATACTTATGACCATCGCAGCATCCTGGTGTCATATGATTGCCGTTTGGAACCTTCCCACAGTTTCTGACCAGAAAAGACAGTGGGGGGTAGCCAGATTCACGTAATGACCCAGATGTTTCACTTAACACCTGTAGTGATTCGTTTAGCAACCTCATGGCAAAAAAAATTGTAAAATTGGGCACAACTTGTTTAACCACTGCCCTGCTAGCAACAAAAATTCTAGTCCCTATTGGGAGTCCTAAGTTGAGGACTAGGCGTCTATGTGACTACATTCATAGGTTATTTTGCCCTAGAGATCAAATCTCTTATGTTCATGGTTTGATTTAAAAAATCTTTTTGTAGAACATTATAACATACAGGTAGTCCTCAACTTGCGACTACAATTGAGCCCAAAATTTATGTTGTTGCATGAGACATTTGTTGAATGAGTTTTGCCCCATTTTACAACCCTAGTTGTTAGGTGCATCTGGCTTCCCCATTGATTTTGCTTGTCTAAGGTCACAAAAGGGGATCACACGACCTTGGGGACACAGCAACGGTCCTAAGTATGAACTTGCCAAGGACCTGAATTTTGATCACATGATCACGGGGATGCTGCAAAAGTCGCAACTGTGAAAAATAGTCATAAATTCACTTTTTTCAGGGCTGTTGTAACTTTGAATGGACACTGTTGTATGCCGAGGATTACCCGTGTTTTCTTTTTTCTTAGCTCTCTACAGTCATCAGGACAGATGGGGTGAAATTTTAGGTGCAGAATTCCAGTTGGATTGTTTTGTTTGTGTCAGCCTACACTGAATGAAATTAAGGGAATCAGAAGGGAGGGTGGGGGCAACGAATAGGATGGAGACATTTGGGCGTGCATTCCTGCATAAGGAGGCACATAGAACATGTGGGCTACCCCTATAGCGTCTTATCATGCTTAACATACTGTCACTGTTACACTGGCGCTTGAGATAAAATTTGGGGAAATGCTAGTGCCAACAATGAGATAGAAGTGCAGGTAGTCTTCGACCTACGACCACAATTGAGCCCAGAATCCCTGTTGTTAATTGAGACACACTTGTTAAATGAGTTTTTCCCCATTTAACAACATTTCTTGCCCAAGCTGCTAAGTGAATCACTGCAGTTGATAATTTAGTAACCTGGTGATTAAGTGAATCTGGTCTCCGCATTGACTTTGCTTGTCAGAAGGTTGCAAAAGAGGATCACATGACCCCAGGATGCTGAACCAGTTGGCAAGAAGCTGAATTTTGATCACATGACCATGGGGAGGCTGCAAAGGTCATAACTTTGAAAAACGGTCAAAAGTCGCTTTTTTCACTGCTGTTGTAACTTAGAACAGTCACTAAGTGAACTGTTGCAAGTCAAGGACCATCTTCAGAATCAGTTTCTACAATATCTCTTAGTATCACCCTACTAAACCTTACCAGTTCCAAGCTTAATTGTAATGATAATTGAGTATCAGAGTTTATGTAGTATCCCACTTTTGCGAGTAAACCCACTATTTAAAAGGAAAACATCTGAGCTAAAAGAATCCCCAATTATATGCTACAGACACTTACCTTGTAAAAAAAGTACTGTACAAGGGTTGCTATCCTAATATAATAAAGGTGGCCATGGACAAAAAGTAACTTGGAGAGGAATTTAAATCTTGCTATTGCATAGTCACTGTTTCTTACAGCTTGTCTGCCTTCTTTGCCCATGATACCTGCAATTTGGGTAAAAAGCAAAAGTAACAAAATTAACTTGTCTTCCTAAGCATGAGGACACATGTGAGTCAAAGTGAAACAACAAATGCAACAATAATGGAAGATTCAGTCTTTAAGTGTGCTGTTTGAGATTTAAAGGAGGCCTGACCAGATAACAGCACATCATTTATTCCACAACAGAAAGAGAAAAGGTTGTAAATATGTGTACATAGAATCTACTTTATTACTTTTTTATCTATGGAGATGATACCCATTATAAATCCCATGTCAGGGTTCCAAGTAACACCCCCAATGAAAGAAGACTCCGAGGCTTGAATTTCCTCAAAAGTTTCATTTCATTAGAGTTGTGTCATATTGGCACATCTGGGAAAACCTGAATCTGAAAGTTTCCAGGGTTTCCCCACCCCCAAAAAAGTTCAATTCTCTGCCCAGCACCCACATGTCCATCATATGGTCCAATAAAACACTGTCCCAACTGGAGATGCCTCCCAGTCATCTCATCGCAGCTGCAAGGCAAGGTGGCCTTGACTTTCTGAGAAAGAATGTCATTTAGACTATATATCACCCACACTCCATATAATCTCCCCTCCCATTTTCCCACAGTAGAAAATGTGGCAGGCCTGAAGGCCCAAATGTAAAAGATGGCTTCCAGGCCTGACATCCCAATTAACAAAGTTTAAATGCGGTAAGACTTTGACCATCACCTAAATATTACCTATGCCAACATGAGCTTCTTGTATCATGCTCACATCATTAGCTCCATCACCGATAGCTAATGTGATAGGCTTCTCTGGAGATGTTTTCAGCAGCCGTACAACCTGTAAAGGAAAGACAGAGTTCTCTATAAAAAGGAAATTGACATTATTTGGGAGCCAGTGGTTTGAGATACTGATGTTTCTCCACAAACTTGAGAGGGCAATGCTTAAAATTCAAGCTTTTAACCAAGACCTTTTCTAATGGATAGAAAATAAAATTCAGAGATTAAGACTATCTTTCATGGAGCTGTATCAATTCTATGTGCTTCCAACAAATCAATAATTTACTTCCTCTGAAAACTGATTGATGGAACATTGGCTTTGATCTAGGCTTAGGATCTCCTGATCTAATATTCAACAGTATAAATCAAAATACATCTAGAATTTTTTTTTTCTCAAAGCAAGTATGGCATATAACTAAAGTTTCAGAAATAGTTTAATTGGCTTCGTCTCTTAAAAATCTTATGAAAGCTATTTTAGAGAAAAAGGAACACACATTTTCTGTATCAGAGGTAGGGAGCTTCTGCCCCTCTGCTTAAATATAATTCCCAGCATTTCTCGTTTGCTAAATATATGGAATCAAATGCAGGGCCCAAAGCAAATAATCAAAGCTTACTGCAGTAATAAATAGTACATACTGATAAAAGGAATTGCAATATCAAGACTTTTGAAGCTGACCAGCTGGGAAATGTTGGTGTACTTTGGGTCCAGGTAGTCCTCGGCTTATGATGAGAATGGAACCCAAAAGTTGTGTTGCTAAGTGAGACAGTTGTTAAGTGAGTTTTGCCCCATTTTACGACCCTTCTTGCCACAGTTAAGAGAATCACTGCAGTTGTTAAGTTAGTAACATGGTTGTTAAGTGAATCTGGCTTCCCCACGGACTTTGCTTATCAGAATTTCACAAAAGGTGTTCACATCACCCCAGGACATTACAACCTTCATCAATGAGAGTCAGCTGCCAAAGGGTCTGATACTTAATCACGTGACCATGACACATGGGGTTGTGAAAAACAGTCATAAGCCACTTTTTTTCAGTGCCATTGTGACTTTGAACCGTCACCAAACTGTTCAACGTTGAAAACTACTTGTACACCTAAGAACGCAGGCCAATCATACAGCAAGACCGTCAATAGCAAGCCCTATTGTCTGCCTATTTTGTAGACAGGTGGGGTGGTGGTGGTGGTGTTATTAGACTGAATGCTCAATTCCTTCTAAATTCGGTTTGAAGCAGGAAGGCCGAGAGAGGCTGTGGCAGGTTACAGTAGCCGAACACGGCTGATGCTCAACCTTCATGAGCTTCCAATAACTCACCTTTGCTTTTTGCAGGGGTGCCATGCGACAGCACAGCACAGCAGAGCAATTTCGGCAGACCTCCATGAAGAGTTTCTCGTGCTGCCTGAGGGCAAGGGAGAGGCTGGTCCCATCCACCACCAGCCCGTGCTGGATTACGTAGTCATCCTTTATTCTAACAAAGGAAGGGGGGAAAAAACAGGACAAACAAATCCATCGTTGTTTCATGAAGGACACCAGTCAGACACATCAAATGCTTTATGATCAACTGCAGACAATGAGAACAGGCTGAACTAGGAACCCTTCCCACCTGCTAGGCAGCAGGCTCATTAGCATATTATATGCTCGTTTTGTAGCAAAGATGATGACGTAATATAGATTGTTCTATTTTCATATTGGAAAGTTCTGTGCTAGTAATGTGAAAAAAAACATTCCAAGTTGGAAATATGCTATTTTAGTTATTCTGAGCTGATGTGAAGTGTCTCTCGTGTTGTTTTTAACCATTCTAGAGTTCTAGTGCTCTGAGTTCAAAATAGGGCTATTTTGAGACTAGAGTATTGCTGGTAATGACGACACAACTTATTTGTTGTTCCAAACTAAGTTTTTCTAGCTTAAAATCAGATGTCTATTTAAAAACAAATGTCAGAATCTTTTAGAACAGTGTTTCTTAACTGTTTTCTCTCTCTCTCAGGACTTGTATGCTAGAACTGTACTGGTTAATTTGGAGTATTTTGAAAAACATAAAAAGTTATAGAGGACCCCAAAAGAGCTTTTCATATTATGGGTTACATTTATCAATGTCTGCCATATTAAAAATTAAAATTGATGCATTCACTGCTGCTGCCATTTCTCACAGCTGCTTGATAGGGTTTTAATATTGTATTATTTCTAAACATAGGCTGGCAAATAACTTTGATTCTGAGCACCCCTGACAGTATCTCGGGGGGCCCTCAGGGGATCTTGGACCACATTTAAGAAGCACTATTTTAGAAACCTCGGTTCCCCATCGGTTGCTGTCGACATCGGTTCAGAAATATGTACAAAGGTTTTACCTCTTGGCGAGCTGTCTCAATTGCTCCGCACACGTATTGTCTGATTTGTGCTGCACTAGTTCCAGGATGTTCATGGTTCTGTGGAAGTGTCCGCAGGATAAGCTAACGCTTACTGCTGTTTCGTGCTTGTCTCCAGTGAGCACCCACACTTTGATCCCTGCCAACCGAAGAGCTTCTATGGTTTCCTGGACTTTGTCTTGCAGCCTAAAAGTAAGCAAATTGCAATGGTGAACAATATCAGAACTGATTGGTCAGGATCACAATGTCTCTGCTTAGACCCTGCAGCATAGCTGCGGGTAATCTGTTAGTCCAAAATCAGAAAGACTCTGATAGGGACATTTCGGACTAACAAAATGTATTCAAAGATGACTATAGGTAGTGCTCAACTTACAACAGTTCATTGAGTGACTGTTCAAAGTTATAATGGCATTGAAAAAAGTGACTCGCTCTTACGACCACTGCAGCATCCCTATGTTTACATGATCAAAATTCAGACTCTTGGCAACTAGCACGTATTTATAATGGTCGCTGTGTCCCAGGATCACGTGATCATCTTTTGCAACCTTCTGACATGTGATTGTGGGGATGCTGCAATTGCCAAGTGTGAAAAATGGTAATAAATCCCTTTTTTCAGTCTTGTAATAACTTTAATGGTCATTAAACAAATGTTTGTTAAGTCGAGAGCTATCTGTACTTGTTCACACAAGGCTGGGTGCTGTGAATCCCATTGCCCTTTCCCATCTCTATGCTGATGGGGGGAAAAAATCATACATATCACACAATGCTATTTATGGAGAGATGAACGAGCATCAAGCTATTCTGCCTGTGCCAGAATTTCTCTTCCCAAATAAACAGGAAGTATGTACTTGTCTTCGACTCCTGTAGCTCCAAGTAACTCCAAGTCTTTTTCAATAAAATTATACGCCTCTGCCAACCGTTCTTCTCGTTGCTGCAAGGCCGTTTTTGCTTCAAAAAGACGTTGCTCCACTTCTTTATACTCCTCCTCTGTGAACTTTCTGTAAGCTACACAAAGAGTCCTTAACCCTTTCTGTGAAAAGAATAGAGAGTGGTTATTTAGATAAGACACTGATGAAAAGGTTTGCTTACTGATGAAGTGCGCCTCTTCATTAAATGAAAGCCCTGAAAGTTTAGGTCTCCCAAAAAGTGCCTTTTTTGACAAGGCATCTTCACTTTTACTCCCATTAATGGAAGAGGATGAAGCCAAGCATAATAGACCAAAGTTCAAGGACAAGGGAGGTTTGCAGTCTGCCAAACGATGCTAATCTTGGAAGGCAATAAAGACATTCTTCTCTCTGGGAGAAAAGGGTGACACTTAAACCAGAGGCAACTGGATATGGGGAGGAGGAAGAGGAGGAAGAGAGGGAAGTAGAGCAAGGCACATGGTCCGAAGAAGCTGAAATGGTTTAGTTTTCCATATACCATTCTCTCTCAAGATGTTTTGACTACAATTCCTATAATCTCTGAACATCAAAGCTGGGGCTGATGGGAAAGCCTGTGGTAAAATCAGACACTCCCATCAGCCCCAGCTTTATAAACAAAATCCATAAATGGGGTCAACATCAGGTAGCTATCCCAGGATCTCAAGCCAATGCACTCTGAATAAAATTCCCTAGTGATGCCCAACACGTACTTAATGGACCAAACACTTAATGGACCTGAAATATTATATATTACTAGCTGATAACCCGGCGTTGCCCAGGTATTTATAGATGTCAAAGTGTTTCTCTGACAGGGAGCCGTTTGTCTGATAGGGGCCTTTCTTCCCCCTACTCCCATGCCCATCATCCCTGCCCTCTCCCTTCTTTCTCCCTCCTCTTTCCCACCCTGTCTACGATTCTGGCACTTTGCCCCAAGTCCATCAGGCGCTTCCCCACTGGTCCACTGGAGGGCAAATGTCACTGCTGGCTTTCTAGAGGAAGCTGTGAAGGAACTGATATCACAAACAATTGCAACTCTAGGACGCCACACTTGCTCTCCTTAACGGCCCAAGTTCTCTCTTCCCTTCCCATAACATCACAAACAATTGCCACTCTAGGACATTGCACTCGTTCTCCTTAATTGCCCAGGAGTTCCAGAGTTATTCTGGAACACACACAGAGAGACAGACACACACCTTGAGGGGGGGGGTGTCTTACCCTCCCAGTATTTGTTTCCGGAGGGTAAGTCATCTGTGTACCATGTTTGGTTGAAATTGCTTGAGGTGCTCCAGAGTTATGCTGGAACATACATACACACACACACACACACAGAGCCTTTTTTATAAACTAAACTAGTTCTGGCAGTTGAAGTCCACAGGTCATACAGGGGTCCTTGTTCCCCACCCCTGATTTAGCAGCACTTCTACCATTATCTACTACAAAGTTTGAAGGCAGTGCTCTTAACATACCAATGCAAATTCATCCACATGGAGTCTTGTTTTTTCTACCTCACCATTTTTACTGGAAGGAAGAATAACAGATTCTGCTCCTTTGGTAAATAAGAGTTTTTCACCTATCCAAGAAAACAAAAAGTGCAAATTAGTAGCGCTTCTCAGAGGCTATTAATGTTCCTTTTATAGAACTGGCTTTAGGGGGTCGGAGGAGACGTAACATCAAAAACATCACATTTTTTTTAATCTTACCTGACGGACTTTCTACGATCACACTCATTCTCCTACGATTGGCATCAAACTCCAGTACATGTAGTAATTTGTACCTTTAAAAGAGAAGATGCTCATGTTTAGTCTGGGTTTGGGAAATGAAGGCCATACTTGTGAAATGCAGAAGATTATGAAAACTGCATGCCTGCAATTGCACACGCAGGTTATACTTGATGGGCATGAAGGGCCTGGAGAAGAGAAGAGGACTCCTCTCAACCGAGTGGCTGATTATAGACATTTCTGTAATTGATGGAGGGAGAGAAAAAAGGAAGGAACCAAGGTGAAGGTACTCCAGAATGTACCATTTCCCCAAACCCATTTGCCGTTTATTTGATTTTCTCGTTTCACTAAGTGGCTTACTTATAAGGATTCATTTTAAGTAGACTTCTATTTCTTCAATGTAACTGAACACAACCTGTACTTAGGAAAACAAAATGCTCATGGCAAGTGGGGTTTAAAGCTGACATATCATTAACTGTTCAAGTGACACTTAAGGAGAGGAGTTTCAGGTTTGTAGCTTAGGAGGAATAATACAATTATTCTAAGGGCAAATTGATGGAAGATACAATGTTAAGAAGCTACTAAAAGAGTAAATCAAGAAAGATGCTTGGACCAGATGGGTTATTTAGGGCTGCATTGTAAGTGTGTTGAGGATGAATGTTTACCATCTCTACAAAGCACAGTGAACCCTATTTTACAGGGATAAAAATATCGAGTCAGAAAGAAGGTAATATAATATTAATGCCTAAAGAGGGATAAGATTTGACTTTAGCAACAAACTACAGACCAATGTCAGTATTAACTAATGATTGTAAGTTGATTACAATGATTTTAGCTGAAAGACTGAAAATAATTTTTCAATAATTTATTTACGAGGACCAGGGTGGATCTTTATTTCAAATCTATCCTGGAAATGGAATAACTTGTGAAGTTGTGAATGCTCGAACACTGAAAGTTTTAAAGAGATTGGACAACTATTTGTCTGAAATGGTACATAGGGTTTCCTGAGCAGTGGGACAGCAGGTTTCCTGAGCAGGGGTTTTCCTGAGCAGGGGGAGGGGGGGGGTTGGACTAGGAGACCTCCAAGGTCCCTACCAACTCTGTTATTCTGTTAAATGTGAAGATCATGAAGGGACATCATGTATGGTAGATGGGTAAAAAAACCAAACAATTTTGGATACAAATCAATGCACTAATTCAGAAGAAGTTATAGACTAATGTGCAACCGAAAAGCCATGGAACTTTGCTTTTATATACAACAACTGCAGCGAGATGACTACATGTCCAAAAGTGCAGAAGTTCAAACACCACTCACAATAGAGTAAATAGATGGTAATGATGATGGCACTTGCAAAAATGGCTACATTGATTTTTTTTATTAGAGAAAACACAATATCTACATTTATGGTTGACTAGAAATCCTTTATAGACTTTCCGAATCAAAAAGAAAAAATGCCCTTATGACTTGTGGTTTAATTAGTAAAAATAGGGAATAGACAAGTAAGCTTTTTTGTAATCAAAGTAAGACATAACTTTTTATTCATACTTTTAATATTTTCTGCAAAGAAAAATGCAGCATTGGAAGCACTTTTTAAATTTATTTTTATCTTTTGTTTCTGAATTTTTGTCTTTTACTTTTTGTTTATTAATTTGTTTTAGCTTTTATGTTTACTTTCAAAACTTTTGATAACCTTTATATTTTAAAAAGAATACAAAACTATTGTACTTTGCAAAAGTATTACAATAGGAGAATAATCATAATAATCAAATATGATTATTGATGATGATTTATTTTATTTATTTAAAACATTTATGTAGCTGCCCATCTTTCAACCAATTCTGGGTGGTTCCCACTCAAAATTAAAAGGCATATAACATCATTTTAAATCATAAAACTCAACTGATTAAACATTAAAAATATCAAAAACCTGACACCAATCTATTTTAATGTGCGATTATCTAGCCTTTTCCCAATGCTTGGGGGATAAGCCAGGCATTTTGCACAGAACATAAAGGCCAAGCCTTAAGAACAAATGCAAGCCGAGAAGTCCCCTGCCTCTGCAAAGAAGCCAAAGAAACAATGGACAACTTGGGTCAGCTGTTGCAAGACAATTACACAGACTGATCACAAACAACAGCGCGACAAAGTAGCAACAATGGCACATTGGAAGATCTGCAAGAAATATCCTTTGCCTGCAAGCAAAAACTGGTGGGACCATAAAATAGAGAAAGTCATCGGAAGTGAAGAAGCTAAAGCACCCTGGGACTTTAGAATTCAAACAGACAAGCACCTGCCACAAGGCACCCAGACTTAATCACTGCCGATAAGAAAGACAAAAATGTCTGGATAGTGAATGTAGCAATACTCGAAGACAGCATTATAGAAGAAATAAATCTAATAATAATAGCAATAAAAACATCTCATATATATGATGATCATATTTCGAGGAAGGGCTAGAATAGCTCCCTTCAGTTGGAACTGTGTTTTTCTTAACCCCAACAACTAACTAACTGGTGATCCCTAGATCTGAAGAAATGCTCTACTGGAAAAAAAAAAGTTCCTTAGTTATTATTTCCTTTGACGTTGCTTTTTTCTACACAGAGGGAATGAGATAAAGATTCTGATGAAAGATCAAAATAAGTTAAGATTCAGAAATTAGGATCTTGTTAATCCACTTTGATGGGAGTTGCATTCAGACTTCCATCCTTCCGAGGTGGGTAAAATGAGGACCCAGATTTTTGGCGGCCATATGCTGACTGTAAACCCCTTAGACAGGGCTTTAAAGCCCTGTGAAGTGGTATATAAGTCTAAGTGCTATTGCTCTCTCTAGGACCATAGGTTTTTCACTCTTACCCCACTGAATTTTGACATTTTTTAAAAAAGGAAACACATGTTCTTTGTTGTTTTACCTTTCTGGCTTTCCACAGCTTTTAAGCTCCATGCTTTCTGCATCTGCCCCAGTAAACACAACACCAACCCTAAAATTCAAAAGAAAGTGAAAGAAGGAGACAGCCTTATGGAAATTAAAAACAATGTCTTAGATAGAAAAGTAATGTTGCTAACCATTATCCATGCACAGCTTTTAAATACTTTTAGAAAGAATAATTGTTTCATGAATGTGCTTTTAGGATTCATAATAGACTCCTGTTTAAGGATGTTTGAACTTAACTGTAATAAGCTGTATTAAAGCCAGTGGATTTAATCAAAAATTAAACACATTTCAAAACTGACACCTAGACTCCAATCTATTTTTGCTAATCTCTATGCAGTTAGATTGAAGAACAAGAATTAAAAGGTATTCCATATAGATTTAGTTATGTTAGGAGAAGGAACAAGAGTGCACCGGTGCTGCAATGCAAAATCCGCTGCGCTCTGCAAATCAGCTGATGTTCGCCATCTTCTTCCCGCCACTGACAAGGCATACTAAGGCCTGTCTCTATGCAAGGCAAGTGCTGGAGGTCCTAGGCCAGTGATGGCTAACTTTTTCCGGACCAAGTGACCAAAGCGTGCACTTGTGCCCAAATCTCCAAAATGCAAAGCGCATGCACAGCCCCACACATACAAGTGTGCCCCATGCATGCCTGTGCAGCAGAGACCCGACGACCAGATGGCTGGTGGGAGGCGCACGCGCATGTCCAATGGAGCTAAACTAGGGCAACAGCTTGTGTGCCCAGAGAGGGCGCTATATGACACCTATGGCACGCATGCCATAGGTTAGCCATCACGAGCCTTCCATAGGAAGGTCTTCTTCCAGAGGCCACACACTCTGTTCTCCAAATTACAGGCGCCATCCTTGTGATGTTTTGGAAAGTATCAGAATTTTTCTAAAGGCCTTCTGAAACATTGGAGAATAGTAGGTGGAGCCTTCTTGCAAGGTTTCAGGAGGCTTCAGAAGCCTCCTGAAGCATGACAAAAACAGTATGCACAATTTTTTGGGGGGGGGTCTTTCTCTCAAGGAATTGTTGATGTATACTGTGTAGGTATCTGCTGTGGATCCCTTATTTGAATTTCTACACTAAGCAGGGACTGTATGGCCTAAATGGCATTCTCAGTTTGACATTTCTATATCCCTTCTGATTCTCAATCATGTCAATCAATGATTCTCAATCAGTAAATCACACCGGGAGTGATCAGTGGAAAAAGGAGAAAGGGCCAACCTAGCATCTGCTGGCTGGACATTATAAGAGATTACACCAGGATGACCATGGTGGATCTAAAGGAGAAGGTGCAAGTCAGAGGGATATGGAGAATGCCGATTCATAAAGTGGCCGAGGGACAGACCCAGCTCATTGGCTGACAGTGATGTCTGATTCTCAAGAGCCTGCAATTCTGCAATACTTTGGCTGCAGTTCAGTTGAGACTCATCAGCTGAATGTATTAACTGGAAGAGTGAGGCAGGGTAACTGTAGCAGAAGGCCCAGAGATAATCAGTTTGGTATTATGGCTTTTACTTTGCTAACCAATCATGGCATTCATGTTACAAACACCAATGCAACGCCCTCCTCCCTGTTATTCTCAAAGTCATACAAGAGCACATCTGGTAAGAGTTAAAGAAAGGCTCACAGCTCTTGGACTTCTCCTTGCTTGCTGCCCCAACTGGACTCCAGACAAAGACTTCTCCATTTATAAGGCCATGCAGAGCCTGGCCTTACAATCCTTACCTGCGAGCAGCTTCAACTAAAGCTTTTTCATCTGGGGACGAGGCGTAGTACTCCAATTCAGAGGGTATGCCATTGCTACGCCACGGGCTGTCACAAATGCCATCAGTTTGGTCATTATTAATCTGCACTGTATGACAGAGACAAAGAGCTTTCAGGAAGAGTTCTTCCTCATGTGTCTGTTAAAAAAAATTAAAGAAAAAACACTTCGATGAATCTGATTTATTAATTTTAACTTTCTCCTATGAAGCAAATGTCTACCAGTTATGTTTAGTCACAAGAATGTAAGCCCGTGTATTTCCATAGTGAACATCTGACCTATCGTAGCTGGAGGACTGTTCAGTCCTTTGGACAGCATAAAAAACAGTTCTTGATTTTTAGTTAAGAGAAAACAACAACAACACACAATACTGTCCAAAGACTGAACAAGGTCTTGCAGTGTTTTATATGAAATCTCTGGACAAGGATTTTACATATTTCACGAATGGTCCTATCTACAAGTTTATTAAAATAGTTATTTTTTTATTAACAATTAAAAGTCTACAGATAGCCCTCAACTTATAAAGGTAAATGAGACCGCAACTTCAGTCATAAGTTGTGATGGTCATAAAGCAGGTCATTACATTACTGTGCCCGATTTTACAAGCCTTTGTGTGTGTGTGTGTGTGTGTTACAGTCGTTAAGCAAAGGTGATATCTGTAAAGCAAATGTAACAGTTGTAAAGTGAGCTCACTCTTCGCTATAGGGAATTTGGTAAATAAATGCCAGTTTCTGGAAAAACATTGTAAACTGTAAAAGATAAAGATTTCCCTCACACATATGTACTTCCCGACTCTAGGGGTTGCTGCTCATCTCAATTTCAAAGCCAGCGCTGTCTGAAGGCGTCTCTGTGGACCTTTCTGATCGAAAAGCTCAGCTTCTTAGCCACTGAGCCACCACATCCTTATTGTAAACTGTGGGATGTTGGAAATGGCTATAAATGTGGGTTGCTTACCAAATGTCCCAAATGTGGTCATTTGATAATGAGGGAGGAGGGGAAGGTGGATGGTGAAACTTCAAATTCAATTTGTAAATTCCTTTTTTAGAGTCTGTTGTAACTTTGCTGATAAGTCAAGAACTACAGTATTTTTCAGAGTATAAGACGCACTGGAATATAAGACGCACTGGAATATAAGACGCAGCAAGGTTTTGAAGCGGCAAATGTAAAAAAAAAGTTTTCGCACTCTGCAAACCTCCCAAAAACGGCCCGTTTTTCACGAAAACGGCCCCATTTTTTTTCCCAACAAAAAGGCATTAGGAAGCTTATAGAGTGCTCCTGGGGGCTGGGGCAAAACTGAGCAAAAAACGGGCTGTTTTATGCTCATTTGTGCCCTCCCCAGCCCTCAGGAGCTCTCTGAAAGCCTCCTACAAGCTATGCACGGCCATTTTGGTGAAGGGGGCGGGGTTTCAGGAGGCAAAAAATGCTGTATTCAGTGTATAAGACGCACCCAGATTTTCAGCCTCTTTTTTGAGGGAAAAAGGTACGTCTTATACTCCGAAAAATATGGTACTTGTATATAGACTATCTACCAGGTGTTTTGTCTTATTTCATGCAGAATCTAAACATGGGCTTTATATAATGAACATGTTATTGTACATATAGATATTACATATGTATGAAGTCTAGTTTGTCAAACTTATTTCTTCTTCATTTTATAATCCAAGAGACAGAATTAAGAGTACCCAATCACACATAATCTTCCCAGCCATAGGCATTTTTATGTAATAAGTTTAAATTTTGAATATGTTTAATTTTAATTCCGTTAAAAGGTATTAGATATAGCCAGGCAAGATAAAATTTGTATTCTTAAAAAAATTATTAAATTCATATCCTGCCTTTATTTTGTGCATCTTAAAACAGTGTACATAATTCTCCCACCTGCTGGTCAAAAGATTACATAGTTCTCCTATCTCAAGATCATTCTGAATTTCTTTCCCTCGAAATATAGAGGCTTCAGTTAGAAGAGTATTAGTAATGAATTACACTAACTGTTCTAAATCTGCATTAGCACTGCTGCCATTACATTCTGAATCTGACAGAATAAAAACCGATTTTTAAAAAATAATGTTGGAGATGGGTATTGAAAGTAGTTCCTTTGGATAATTGATACATTATACTGAAGCACTAATAAGGATCAATGGATCAATTTTAAATATAGGATTCCAAACACTGATGCTCTCGCTCAATTAGCACAGAATATTAGGAAAAATAAGAACATTAACACACACAAAAATGGAGCATAATGCAACTGATCTCTTTGCAGATAATATACTAATTTTTCTTAGAAACCTAAATATTAACAGATCTTGCAGTCAGAAATAAAAGAAATTTTGTACATTGGAACTTTTAGAAGTTACTTTTGAAAAACACTCATAAAAAGAGCTTCAAGAAGGATCTCAACTTTAGAGTATAGGAAGCTCAAAATTAATTTCAAGAAATTAATTTTAGAAAGAACTTACAAGACTGGGCTGTACTCCATCTGGAAAGTCTTCTATCAATCCCTCGGGAACTAATCTGCAATTGATTTCTTGGTATTTGAGACCATTAATGGAACATTCCCGAAACTGCATCACATTTTCTGTCAGTGTGCCAGTTTTATCTGTAAATACATACTCCACCTACAGTAAGTTAAGAAGTTACATCAGTCAAAGAAATTTAATTTAAAAAAGGCAGCAAATCTCCTTCATACCTGCTAGTGCAGGGGTGTCAAACTCAAAGCCCGAGGGCTGGATTCAGCAAATGGGGTGCTTGGATCTGGCCCATGGGGCTGCCCTGGAAACAACGAAGGACGGCCCGTGGTACTCTGCCAGCAAAAATGGTGGCAGAGGGTTTCAGGCTGCTGCAGCTGAAAACAGAGCTCGGGAGCCCATTTTCACTGGCAGAAGGTTCGAGCTACCACAGGGGCCCCTGACATGAGTGAGGTCAAGCTGGCCATGGCCACTGCAGGCTCCCCAAGGTCAAACACAACCCTGATGCAGCCCTCAATGTAATCGAGTTTGACACCCCTGCACTAGTGGGACATTCATACATTCTGCACATGCTGGATGCTGCACTCAGTTCAGACTTGTGCACATTTATGGTGCTTATTTGAAATAGGTGTAATGGGTTTATTTATATATACATGGAAAATGTATTAAATGATCGTTTCTAATAATTACACAATGTACCCTCCAGGGCAGCAAAGCTCATTTAAAATCTCTGAATGTGGTCCATATATATATATGGACCACATTCAGAGATTTTAAATATATATATATTCATATTCGTAGATTTTCACGGGTACAGGTATGCAGCTCTTGGCATATTCGGGTCTTTTCCCGTGTAAGATTGAGAATATCTTGGCGACGTTCCGACGAGGTCCCACTCGCCATGTTCAGGCTGGTGCCGTCGCCAAGATACTCCCAATCATACACGGGAAAAGACCCAAATACGCCAAGACCTGTGTGTAAGTGTGTGTGTGTACACGTACGCACATGTATATATATTTGTGTTGCATTTGTACTGATAAATAAATAAAGGAAGACTAGTATAGATCTATTTCAAGCTATTTAGCTCTCATCAGCTAGCCATACCCTTACTGGGATTTGAACCTGGGCTGTATTAAATACTAGGCAGTTGTATTAGCCATTAAGCCACAGGCTCTCCTCCTTTATCAGCTAAGCCAGGGAAATAGGTATGTATTANAAAAACAGAAACCTGTAAAGATCTGCTTCTGGTTGCTGGCATTCAATAACAGCTACAAGTTTGTCGAGATTGGCAACTGACTGCAACACAGCAGTTTCTGGGACTGCAATGTGTGTCTAAAAAAAAAAAAAAGGCAAAAAAAGCAATGATTTGACAACTCTTCGTTAATGTATTCTACAGATCCCCAAGGCCCAACACCTCAAAGGCCCCCAAATCCCTTGTGAGCTCTTAAATGTATTCCTAATTTGCCAGTAAGTTGTCAGTATTATAGAAAATGTTGGAGTAAAAACAAGTCACAATTTGGTAAACTGATCATCTGTCAATAGGAAAATGATACATTTCTTCCATCTGGTGTGGTGTTCATAAATTTCAATCCTGACAAAATGATGTGTGAGGGATCCTAAGGAATGTAAGACTCCCTTCACATGATGATCAGCACTTGACAAATAGTAGGGGGAAAAACCCCAGATCATAAATTGGATGGCGCTTGTAGAATGTTTATTAAAAGGGGGGAAATAGCTGGGAGAAATATTAAGATATACAAATGCAAGTAAAAAAAGATTGTGGGTAGTATATGGTCTGATACAAGAAATAAATAGCTGAAAGTAAATAACCAATGAGAAAAAAATATATTGAGGTGGGGATTTGGTCACCTAGAAAGAATTAATGAGCATTAAATGCCAAGACAAATAAAGAAAGGAAGCATGAATGGCTTTAGCAGAAAAGGAAAAAAGAAAGCTCCTACTGCTGGCTATTTTGGACTGGTATAAAAACCTTTCAGATTCAAAATATCTTAAACTATAATGTCCTATGTTGAACTCAACATTTTACTTAAATAGAAACAGGTATTTCAAGCTCAAATATTTTAAATTTGAAACATTTTGTGCACCTTACTGTCTTATTATAGCAGCCGACAAAATAAGGCAAAAATTGGGCAATCTAGAGGAAAATAACATAGAAAACAGAAAGTATTTGTCCTTAAAAAGCTTTCTAGCAAATTTGTATCCTTTTTGTTTACATTTGCTACTCACTTCTTTATAATCAGAGCTACACAGCACATTCCAATTAATCATATTAACTGTGCCTAAGAAACTCACGCTAATATTTTTCCTTAAATTCATAAAAATGAATACAGCCATAACAACATGGCCTTTGGCTATTAACCCCCCCCCCCAAAAAAAAAACTTTGATATGAACCCAACAAAATTAAAACAAAATGTAACACTCTTTTTTACATAAACATATCAAAATACCCCAGCCACAATTTCAAAAAATAAAAAAAATGAATCAATTTTAACAGTATGGACGCAGACCTTAAGATTAGTTTCTCCATCCAAACTTGCAGTTGTAACATAGCAACAGCCATGTTCTCTATCAGAGGAGAGAAGTACGAGATCAGCAGGGAAAGTTTCATCTTTGGCTACTCTCACAATATCTCCTACCTGGGGAGACAGGAGGAAGCATGGAAAAACTGATTTGCAAAATTACTGGATTAAAATAGTCCAACGAAACGTTATTAAAGTGATGGCTAACCTTTTTGGTGCCCAGTGCCCAAAGCGCACGTGTGCAACCCCAAAATGCAATGTGCGTGCCACATGCACATGTGCCCAGCCCCCATGCATGTGGTCCCTTGCACATGCACCCCCTCTGCCCATTTTTGTCTTTCAGGTTGGTGCAGAAGGTCTTCCAGGCCCAAAACGGGGAAGCATGCACATGCACACAATGTGTGCAAAGCCCCAAAATGCAATGCAATTGCCCCCGCACATGTGCCCCACCCCACGTGCATGCACACACGTGCCCCCCACATGCGTCCCACCCCCACGGATGCATAGCAGAGACCCGAAAACCAGTTGGCTGCTGGGAGCTGCATGCGCGGTGGAGCTGCACTGGGCTGGAGTGACAGCTGGTGTGCCCACAGGGAAGGCTCTGTGTGCCACTTGTGGCATATGTGCCATAGGTTTGGCATCACGGTGTTATTCAGTCTAATTAAATTCTTCGTAAAACTGAATACAAAGCCATAACTGTTTTGTTTCAAACCCACAATTACAGAAGGCAGACCCTCGTTTTATGCAAGGCACATACCCGAATGTTCTTTGATCTTGTTTTTACAAGGCCACCACTACGAACAACATACACTGGAGCTCCATTCACTTCATTGTCTGCTTTGTGCCGTAGCCAATCTTCATAACCCTGAAAAGATCAAAGGAAGTCACTAATATATCTTGCCTGCTGCTTGGCTGCTATCTCAAATTTTATCAGAGGATCAAACTAGGGCTGAAAAAAAATGGAATCTATATGGCTCATTTTCCCCAACCGCTTGCCCTTGAAAAACTCTGGACTAAAGACTCAATGTTCCTTAATGGGCCATACTGATTGAAACTACAACTTTTATCAGCTCCAAAAATTTGGAAGGGATCAGGTTGGGGGAGATGGAGCCAAGCCAGACAGTCGGCTTCTAACATGATATTCGTGCTACTTTAAATGAGGGAAACGACAACCTATATGTCTATTTTGTATAGACATGTATAGTAAGAGTGATAAATTTAAGCAAGTGTGCTAAAGGCAATTGTTCTGTCTGATCGGAGTTATGTTACAGAGAGGTTTCCAAAATAGACAAAGGTTGCCTGAGAAAACTTGCATGCATACCTCAAGAAAAGTCATGAGAAATGAGGGAAAAAATGCAATTGCATGATTGTTCCTACTCAGTTGAGAGTTGGGAGGCATATACATTTATTAAATGTATGATTGATTGCATAGTCAGCCAGATATTTAGACTGAATATGACATTTTTGTTCACCTATTAAGTCTTTCCCAATGAGGCAGGCAGATGATGTTTGATGATGTGAAAAGGTACTGTTACAGGATATAAGCTGTTCCATGTAAAGTTGCTTTTTGCAATTGACTGATAGTGATTTTTGTCAGTGTTGATGGTATTCAAGCGATGGTCCAGATACTTTGAAATTGTACCCAGGGCACATATTACATTGGTACTACCTTTGCTTTCTTTTGCCATGGTTTCTGTTCGCATATTTTTATATTTTATGATTTTTCTCCAGATCTTTCTCTTCTATTCTGCTGCCTTCAGGCTTTGTAACGTTAACTCACCAGAGTTTTTTTTAATCTTTCTCATCAACAGTTGTTAAGTCTGGGGCATTGTGTGGCAGATGCTTGAATCCTTATGTCACAGAGCACTTTGGCTTCTTCATTTTCAATTACTTTATCTATTTTGTGGTCCCACCAGTTCTTGCTAACAGGCTAAGTAATAGAAAATGAAGAACTAAAGGGCTCCGAGCCTTTAGAATTCGAACAGATGTCTGCCACTCAACATATAAATTATGGTTGGTCAGCCAGATGTTTAGACTGGATTTAGCATTTTCCTCTACTTATCGGTCCCTCCCAAGGTCATGTTTGTAGAATGTTATGTTTATATAGGACACAGTACTGACAAAAGTAACAAAACAGAATTTCATCAGCTATAAAGAATGAGAGGTAAAACTGAATGCTGGATAAAGATAATTTCATTTAAAGCAGACAGTGAAGGTTATATAATAAGTAAGAGCCGGCCTGTGCTGCTTCAGTGTATTATGCAGATTAGTTTTGAATTGTTGAAATGTTCTTTAAATAAATAAGTGAATAAATATGTTCTATCCACAGGTATTATGGAAGCACTGTGAGAAAATCAGGACCCATCAACTTCCAGGAGCCCAAATACTGTGAGGAATCTCTAGAAACAATTGCAGCATCTCTCATTATGTAAATCAATTTTTAGAAGACTCCTTTGCAAGATCTCATTCCTTTGAGATAGCAGAAAAAATGGTATTCATAATACAAACTGAGATACCAACCTCCACAACTATTATGTGTCATTATTATCCACGGAAGGCTTTACTGGATCATGAAAACATATAAAAGCAATCCCAGGCAAAAACATGTT